GGTGCACAGGTGTTTTGGAGGGTCTAGGGTGGTGGTTTTGGGGTCCAGGGGGTGAGTTTATGGCCCAAGTAGGATTTTTGGGGGGCTGGGGGTTTGGTTTTGGGGTCCAGGGGGTTGTTTTGGGGGTCTAGGTTATGATTTTAGGGCCCAAGTAATTTTTGGGGGGTTCAGGGGGTTGTTTTTGGGGTGCACAGGTATCTCTGAGGAACCAGGGGATTGTTTTTCAGGGTCTGGGGGATTGTTTTTTGGGTCTAGGGTGGTGGTTTTGGGGTCCAGGGGGTTGTTTTGGGGGTCTAGGTTATGATTTTAGGGCCCAAGTAGTTTTTTTGGGGTTCAGGGGGTTGTTTTTGGGGTGCACAGGTATCTCTGAGGAACCAGGGGATTGTTTTTCAGGGTCTGGGGGATTGTTTTTTGGGTCTAGGGTGGTGGTTTTGGGGTCCAGGGGGTGGGTTTAGGGCCCAAGTAGGTTTTTTGGGGTCCAGGGGGTTGTTTTTGGGTTCAGTGGGTTGTTTTTCAGGGTCCTGGGGATTGTTTTTGGGGTCTAGGTGGTGGTTTTGGGGTCCAGGTGGTGGTTTTAGGGCCCAATTAGTTTTTTGGGGGTTCAGGGGGTTGTTTTGGGGGCCCAACACGTGTTTTTTGAGGCCCTGATGAGTTGATTTTGAAGTCAAGAAGATGGTTTTTTTGGGCCACAACTGGTGGTTTTGAGGTCAAGTAGGTGGTTTTTGGGGCCCACTGAGATAGTTTTGGGGTCCAAGTGGGTCTTTTTTGGGGTTCATTGAGTTGGTTCTTAGGCCTGTGGGTATTTTTGGTGACCAGGGGGTTATTTTTGGGGCCAGGTGGGTGGTTTTGAGGTGAAGAAGGTGGTTTTTGGGGGCCAATGGGTGGTTTTGAGGTCAAGTGGGGTTTTTTTGTGGCCAAACAGGTGGCTTTTGGGCCACGATGAGTGGTTTTGAGGTCAAGTAGGTGGATATTGGGGCCCAACAGGTGGTTTTTGAGGTGAAGAACATGATTTTTGGGGCCCACAAGGTGTTTTTTGGGTCGAGGTGAATGTCTTTGAGGTTGAATAGGTGTTTTTGGGTGCCCAACAGGTGGTTTTTGAGGCTCTGATGGGTGGTTTTGAGGTCAAGTGGGTGGTTTTGGGTCCCAACAGGTGGTTTTTGGGGTCTGGTGGATGGTTTTGAGGTCAAGTGGGTGGTTTTGGGGGCCTGACGGGTGGATTTTGGACCACGATGGGTGATTTTTTGAGCCAGGTGGATGGTTTTTTGGTCAAGAAAGTGGGTTTTGGAGCTTGACTGATGTTTTTTGGCCACGATGAGGTGGTTTTGAGGTCAAGTAGGTGCTTTTTGTGGCTGAACAGGTGGCTTTTGGGCCATGATGAGTGGTTTTGAGGTCAAGTAGGTGGGTTTTGGGGGCCCAACTGGTGTTTTTTGGGGCCTGGTGGGTGTTCTTGGGGCCAAGCAGGTGGTTTTTGGGCCCCAGCAGGTGGGTTTTGAAGGCCAGGTGTGTTTAGGGGTGCCGAGGGGTCAACAACTGGCTTGGGGGGGCTCCTCCCTGCCCCCGTATTCAAGGGGGGTTCTCCTCTTTTCCTCCCCAGGAATGGGAAGAGCGTCGGCGCCAGAACATCGAGAAGATGAACGAGGAGATGGAGAAGATCGCGGAATACGAGAGGAACCAGCGGGTAGGGAGGGAGAAGAGGAGCTGGGAGGGGGGTGCTCAGGTGGTCTGGGTCGTTCGTGAGGTGACAACAACGTCCCCCTCCTGCCACAGGATGGGCTGCAGGAGAAGAACCCAGTGAGGAACTTCTTGGACGACCCGCGGCGCAGCGGCCCCTTCCAGGACTCCGACCGGCGGGAGGGAAGTCGCCGGCACGTCCGGAACTGGGGGGGAGCAGATTTTGACAAGGTCAAAGCTGGGATGGAGAAGGAGAAGACCTGGCAGGGCCCTGTAAGTACCCTGGTGGGTCCTCAAAAACCATCCACTAGGCCCCAAAAAACACCTGTTGGGCCCCAAAAACCACTTTCTTGACCCAAAAAACACCCATCATGGCCCAAAAAACACCAGTTTGCCCCCAAATAACACCAGTTGGGCCCCAAAAAGCACTTCTTGACCAAAAAAACATCCACCTGGCTCAAAAAATTACCCATCATGGTCCAAAATCCACCCGTCGGGCCCCCAAAACCACCCACTTGACCTCAAAACCACCCATCAGGGCCTCAAAAATCACCTGTTGGGGCCCAAAAACCACCTTCTTGACCTCAAAACCATTGACCTGGTTCCAAAAATCACCCATTGTGGTCCAAAAACCACCTGTTGGGCCCCAATATGCACCTACTTGACCCAAAAACCACCCACCTGGCCCCCAAAATAACCCCCTGGTCACCAAAAATACCCACAGGCCTAAGAACCAACTCAATGAAACCCAAAAAGACCCACTTGGACCCCAAAACTGTCTCAGTGGGCCCCAAAAACCACCTACTTGACCTCAAAACCACCTGTTGGACCCCAAAAAAACACCTTCTTGACCTCAGAACCACTTGTCAGGGCCCAAAACCCACCAGTTGGGCTCCAAAAACCACCAGTTTGGTCCAAAAAACACCCACTTGACCTCAAAACCACCCATCAGGCCCTAAAAAACGTCTTGTTTTTTTGGGATTGTGGAGTCATGGGATGGTTTGGGGTTGGGTTGGAGCTCCGAGATGATCCAGTCCCAACTCCCAGCCCCTTGGGACACCTCCTACCAACTCAGGTTGCTCCAAACTCCACCCAACCTGCCCTTGAACCAGGGATGAGGCCTCCACAGCCTCTCTGGGCAACCTGTGCCAGGTTCTCACCACCCTCATGGTGAAGAATTCCTAAGGTCTCAGCTCAGTCCACCCTCTTCTAGTTTGAAACCATCACCCCATCTCTCCATCCTTTGGTCCAAAGTCCATCTCCACCTTTCATGGAGGTATCTGAAGGTGCTTCAGGTGCTGGAAGGTGCTCCAGGTCTCCCTGGAGCCCCAACCAGCCTGACTAGAGCTGCTCCAACCCTTGGATCATCTCCATGGCCTCCTCTGGACTCTCTCCAGGAGCTCCATGTCCTTGGGGAGAGGGGACAATCCCTTCCCTTGACCTGCTGGTCACTCTTCTTTGGATGCAGCCATGACCACAGTTGGCTCTGGTGGGCTCACGTGGAGATTCTCCAACACCTCCAAAGTCTTTCTCCTCGGGGTTCTTCTCCACACATTCCCACCCACCATTGATCTGTGCTTGGGGTTGTCCCAACCATGAGGAAGACCTTGCACTTGGCCTGGTTGAACTCATGAGGTTGTCCACCTGTCCAGGTCCCTCTTGATGTCCTCTTGGTGTTCCCAGTGCCCTTGTTGGGGCTCCCACTGTCCATGTCCCCACCAAGAACATCCAACATCAACTGGTCCCAGTGCCAACCCTTGAGCAGCTCTTGGCCTGGTGAACTTCATGGGGTTGCCCACCTCTCTAGGTGCCTCTTGATGTCCTCCTTGTTGTCCCCAGTGCTGAGGTTCCCACTGTCCATGTCCCCACCAAGGACATCCAACTGTGTCCCAGTGCCAACCTGGTTGAACTCATGAGTTTGTCCACCTCTCCAGGTCCCTCTTGGTGTCCTCCTTGGTGTCCCCAGTGCCCTTGTTTGGGCTCCCACTTTCCATGTCCCCACCAAGGGCATCCAGCTGTGTTCCAGCACCAACCCTTGAGGAGCTCTTGGCCTGGTTGAACTTAATGAGTTTGTCCACCTCTCCAGGTCTCTCTTGGTGTCCTCCATTGTCACCACACCAGGGTTTGGTGTCCCCAGTGCCCTTGCTGAGGTTCCCACTGTCCATCTCCCCACCAAGGACGTTCAGCTGGTCCCAGTGCCAACCCTTGAGGACCTGTTGGACTGGTTGACCTTCATGATGTTGCCCACCTCTCCAGCCTGTCCAGGTCCTCCTTGGTGTCCCCAGTGCCCTTGTTGGGGCTCCCACTGCCCATCTCCCCACCAAGGACATCCAACATCAACTGGTCCCAGTGCCAACCCTTGAGCAGCTCTTGGCCTAGTTGAACTCAGGAGTTTGTCCACCTCTCCAGGTCCCTCTTGATGTCCTCTTGGTGTCCCCAGTGCCCTTGCTGAGGTTCCCACTGTCCATGTCCCCACCAAGGGCATCCAACTGTGTCCCAGCCCCAACGTGGTTGAACTTCATGAGGTTCCCACCTCTCCAGGTCTCTCTTGGTGTCCTCCATGGTCACCACACTAGGGTTTGGTGTCCCCAGTGCCCTGGCTGAGGTTCCCACTGTGCATGTCCTCACCAAGGGCATCCAACTGTGTCCCAGCCCCAACGTGGTGGAACTTCATGAGGTTCCCACCTCTCCAGGTCCCTCTTGATGTGCTCTTGGTGTCCCCAGCGCCCTTGCTGAGGTTCCCACTGCCTATGTCCCCACCAAGAACCTCCAACATCAACTCCTCCCTTGCGAACCCCCAATCCCTACAAGCCCAACCAACCTCTTGCCCATCCCAGCTGGAATTCCCCACGTCCCTCAAACTCACCTTCTACCTCAGGGCCGTCGCTCCAGCCCCAAGAGTGGGGTCCCCTTGGACATGACCCTGTCCATGACGGGCCGGGAACGCGCCGAGTACGTTCGCTGGAAGAAGGAGCGGGAACAGATCGACCGGGAGCGTTTGGCGCGGCACCGAAATCCCGCCGGGACCTGGCGCCGGGAATGGGACGCCCAGAAATCTGACACCATGTGGGTCCCCTTGGTGGGGCCTCCAAAAGGTGGTGACACCCTTGCTTTTGGTGCTTGACCCTCCTGGTTTTTTGTGGATTCCTCTTTGGAAGGTTCAAGGAAGATCCGGGCTTGGAAGTGGTGGGAGAGGAGGAGCCCAAACGGCCTCATCCCAAACCTCCCACGTTCGGGGAGTTCCTGGTCCCGCCGCGCGGGCAACGGAGGAGGAAGAGCCGAGGGCGAGGTCAGGGCGTGGGGACCAAGCCCTACAGGTGGGTTGGGTGGTGGGTTTGGGGCTGGGTTGTTTTTTGGGGGGTCACTTCTGAGCCCAGTTGATTCCCTGGATATTAGTTCCCAGGATTTGGAGCCCTCGGAACAGCGGGGGAGGTGGGGGAGGCTCCATCCTTAGAGATGTCCCAACAGAAAGGGGGGTTGATGTGGTGTTCCCTGAGATGTTTTAGTTTTGGGGAGGGGGTTTTTAGGGGGGATGGTTGGGCCTCGATGCTCTTGAAGGTCTTTCCCCACCTTGATGCCATGAATTCCATCCCAGCATGCACGACGACCGCTGGGAAGAGTCGGAGC